CTTTTTTTTTTTTTTGAGACGGAGTTTCGCTCTTGTTACCCAGGCTGGAGTGCAATGGCACGATCTTGGCTCACTGCAACCTCCGCCTCCTGGGTTCAGGCAATTCTCCTGCCTCAGCCTCCTGAGTAGCTGGGATTACAGGCACACGCCACCATGCCCAGCTAATTTTTTGTATTTTTAGTAGAGACGGGGTTTTACCATGTTGACCAGGATGATCTCGATCTCTTGACCTCGTGATCCACCCGCCTCGGCCTCCCAAAGTGCTGGGATTACAGGCTTGAGCCACCGCGCCCGGCCAAACCTGTAAACTTTCTAAAAACATTATGAGATTTATGCACAGACCTTTTTTCTTCTTTTCTTCTTTTTTTAAGCTCATCAGCTATCATTCATGTTAGTGTATTTTATGTGTGGCCCAAGACAGTTCTTCCAGTGTGGCCCAGGAAAGCCAAAACGTTAGACATCCCTGGTTTAGGGTTTTGTGCAACATAGAACCACAGACAGGACTTGGTGGCAAATGACACGAGCAGGGGGACCCCCGAGCTCCTCCTCTTCTGCTGGGTCAGGGAATAAGCCTCCATTTTCCTGAGCCCCTGCCTGGTCAGGTGGGAGCTGGGCACCTGCAGTCAGCTGGCATTTTCCCTCTAGAGTGTTAGAAATTCTTAGCACATCTCTTCTGGCACATTTTACTGGCTTGAATCCCAGCTGCTGGTCTTGGTGGCCGGGGAGCCTCCTTGTTCAGTTGGCCTGAAGTCTGGAGGGTGGAAAGGGCATCTTAGGGTGCCCTGGGGTGCAGCAGAGCCTGGGCAGCATCCTTGGCTCCCATTCCAGCACTGTGTCCCAGAAAACTCCTTCCAGTCACTTCTGTCTGTGCTGTCTCTTGCTGGGCTTTACGTGCGGTTCGTGTTGTGAGCTTTTCACCCCCTGCTGCGGGTGGAGCCTGAGGGATTGTGGAGGGAGCCTCGTGTCCCTGAGGTGCTCAGTGAGCTGTGCCGGAGCCCTTCAGGGCCAAGGGTGACTGAAGGCGTCAGTGTCAGGGGTTTCCCCAAGATCCCTACCGTCGGGCTGGCTTCATTGCCGTTGTGGCTGGGGGGTCTGTGGTGAGCTGCGCAGGTCAGGGGTGGACAAGCTGCCCCTTCCGCTGCCATCCCCGGCCCCCTGCTGTCTCCAGAGCTCGGATGCTCCCCTCAGTGGCAGCCAGGGCCCAGGGCTTTGGGCTGATCCTTCATACTGCAGGTGCCTCTGACCATGGGATCAGGCTGTGTGTGCCATGGCCTGGCTGTGCCCCCAGCGTGAGCTGCTACCGGTGTGAGCAGAGCAGCCAAGGCAGTCTCTGCGTGGGGTTTGGCCCGTGGGGGCTGCCCCGTGTCCCCAGGTGCTATGTGACTCTAGGGTCTGGTCATCCCTCTGCCATGATGGGGCCTCTGTTCCACTACAGGGCTGCCTGCCATCTGCTGTGCATTCACTGCCCTGTTGGGCTATGTCTGTGGCTGTGCTGCCCGCACAAAACCATGTGTGAGGCCAGAGAGGAGCCTGCGCCCACTGCCGTCCCTGCCATCCAGTGTGACGCTTATGTGTGCAACCCCAGGTGGCCGCCTCTCTTCCTGGCTCCTCAGCCCAAGCACCAAACGCCTCTGCTGGCCCCGCCGTCGTGGCTTCACAGCACATCCTTCCTGCAGCTGCTGTCCCTCCTGCCCTGCACCCCTTCCTAGGCCTGCATTTCTCTCTCTTTTACTGATGTGGAGATGATGCCCTCATTCTCCTCCGTATCCCTCCCGGGCGTGCCTGTTTTCGACACAGCTCACAGTGTCAGATGGGGGAGCTCAGGTTTTCTGCGGTGCTTGATGGAGCCGCCAGGGATTGGGGGGTCCGGGGTGCCTGGCTCTCCCAGCATGTGTGTTGGGGGAGACACCGGCTCTTTGAAGCCCACAGGAAGGCTGGATGGGCTGATCAGCAGGAGGCCGGGCAGCTGTCCTGCTGGATCGCAGACCTTGTGCCCATCAAGACTGCTGGGCTCAGAGGTATCTCTGCCCGGTCTTGGGTGGGCCGGTGGGGAAGGGAGCCCCCTGCAGACCTGGCTGGTGGTCCTGGGGAGCCCCTCTGACTCTGGGAGGAAGGAACCGGCCCAGGCCAGGCTTGGGTCTGAGTTCCCGGGCAGGGTTCGCAGTCCTGTGTGTGTCCTCATGGGTAAGTTCCCTCTCCCCCTCACCTTCTAGGGTAAGCAGGAGGAGAATGACGTGGTGGAGAAGCTGAACCTCTTCTTGGATCTGCTGCAGTCGTATAAGGTGAGTCTTGGCTGCTCCTTGGTTAAGGGGCAGAGCTTTCGGGAATGATCTTAGGATCTTTCAAGGGTGTAACTTGGGGGATGGGAGGAGCTGAGAAGCCAGGGCTGCAGAGGGAGATGGGACCTTCTGTCTCTCGGGTGTGCTGCCCTCGGCTGGCTCTGCAGGGCCCTGGTGCGGGCTTCGGGAGCCAAGGCCGAATGCCTCCCCTGACCCTGCAGGACCTGTGTGAACGGCATGAGAAGGGTGTGCTGCACAAGCACCAGCGGGCCTTGCACAAATACAGCCTGATGAAGAGGCAGATGATGAGCGCCGCCGTGCAGAACCGTGAGCCGGAGTCCGTGGAGCAGCTGGAGTCCCGCATTGTAGAGGTGGGTGGCTGGGATGGCCAGGCAGGCCCGTGGGAGCCTTTCCCCTCCCAGCCTTAGTGGGCCCCGGAGCTGTCCCAGTGGGCTCTCCTGGGTTGGCCCCATGCGTCTGGAACAGAGCTGGGGGTGCAGTGGAGGCTGGGAGCTGCCTCGGGTACCCAGAGTGACATGGCTCCCTGCCCGGTGCCCCCTCCCTGGCCCTCTCTTACCTTGCCACCTTCCAAATGCCTGGTGAAGGCTGAAGGAGGAGGGGCCGCCGGGGCTCAGGGAGCATGCTGGTTTTCAGGCCTTGATGCTCCTCCAGCACCTGGCTGGGCCAGGTGCGAAGGTGGCTGTTGAATTTGCAGCAGGAGAATGCGATTCAGACCATGGAGCTGCGGAACTACTTCTCCCTGTACTGCCTGCACCAGGAGACGCAGCTCATCCACGTCTACCTGCCCCTCACCTCCCACATCCTCCGTGCCTTCGTGAACTCCCAGATCCAAGGGCACAAGGAGGTGAGTCCCCCCTTGCTCAGGACGCTGTCTTGGCTACGGCCTTCTTTTTTTCCCCAACGCCCTTCCCTCAAGCCTGGCAGCACGGTGGCCGGCTGCTCTCGAGAGGTTCTTCAGTGGAGTTGGGTCCACATGGAACACGGTGCTCACCCAGATCTTCTAGTCTCCTTTGTAGCCAAAGTCAGAATCATGAGGGTGTCCCTGTGATTCCTGGGGGCGGAGGGAGGGACAGACAGGGACAGTTTGCCTTCTGGAGGGATTTGAGAAGTCAGAGGTAAAGCCTGCAGAGCTCCCGCACCCTGTGGCTGAGACAAGGGTTCTGAGTGCTTGGGAGCACTGCAGGTGGGGTGTTTTTCCAAAGAGCACGGGCCAGCTTTCTCCAGATGGTGCTTCCTTCAGCCTTTGAGAAGAAAT